TTCTGGAAGTGTCTAAACTTCCTCATAACTTTAATTTTATTACAATGGCCTTGGATTGTCTGACCTCAGTAGCTGTTAACACCAAGTAATATCTGTATCGGGCCCTACCTAGAGCATATAGCTGAGTGGGAGTAAACAAACAAGATGCACATGCCTGTTAATGGCCATGAGAGAGAGAGAGAGAAATCAGGAATAAACTTAAAAGTAACAGTAATTCAGTCAATGAATGTTCATGTTGGAGATACAGAACGTAATGGGAAGCTTTTGAATAAATATTTCAAGGTAAATCTGAAACCCAGACATCAGTGCTCATAGCATATACAATTTGGAGCTATTCAGGAGTTGCAAATAAATGCATTTTCACAGAAATCAAGATGTTATTTTTGTATACTATATCACTTAGACAACTGAGTTTCATTTGCTTGTAATCAGTTTTTAAAGTAAGATGGTAAAAGCAATTGAAGTCCTAGAACATAGAAAATGTAATTTTAAACTATCAATAAAGCTGGAGGAGGAAGGGGAGTTTGGCTAAAGTTCCTTTTGTTTATTTTTGGTTTTCATGTACACAGTGCAAAATAACATATTAAAAAGGGGTATGTGGAGGTGTAAAAAGTTTAGTTTGGACTTTTCTTTTGTACTGTCTTCTGTTAAGTTTCCACCCGGTAGCATCAAACTGTAAACACATGAAGTATGCAGTCCTTCTTCCAGACTATAGAGTATCTGCATATGTTCATGTCAATGGATCGCGTGGTCTCTGAGTGGGCTTGTTTCATCTGTGCTGATGCAGTTAAAGCATTTCTTTAAAAATGGTTGAAGAAGGCACAAAAGTTGTTGAAGGTACAGTGAGTTCCAAATCTGGAGTAGTTTAATGGTCTGTTAGCAGTACTTCAGCCTTCACAGATGTCATTACACTAAGAACTATCATTTAAAACATCTAGTATTACAGGCACTTCCCGTTAACCATACTTTATTCTACTGTGTTGATTGACTAAGGGTTAGTAAACAGCTACGAAGTTACGCTCTGCGTCAGCTCCCTTTTCATCTTGTGTATAGAGCACATCCACTCAAGAAGTGAATAAAGTCTTGACGTGCAAGAAAAGCAAGGGCAGGAGCTCTTGACTGATGAGTGCTTCACCATAAGGCACAATTGTAGAGGGCATGTCTTTAGCATTCAGTGTTAAAGGCAACTACGAGCAGCTTCAGCTGGAGTGCCTCCTGAGCTTTCAGCTGTCCTCAGGAGCTCTAGCAGATGACGTGGGATCTCTGTCTAGTTACCATCAGGGATAGTGTACCGTAGTCAGTTTGTGTTTGCATCTTCACACACAACTTAAAGGCTTTCCTTACTTTCAAGTCCCAAAGTGTTTCTCGTGGGCTGTGCATGCTACAGTGGTGAAAAAATTGCCTGTGGCGTTGGAATGACTGTGGATCTCTCTTTAGAGAGAGGAGAAGTACCAGACTGATAATCTACAGCTATGCTACAGTAAAACTAAATTGGCGCTATTACCTGTCTTCTGGATCTGTGTTACAACTAACCAGTTAACTGAAAATGTTAATGTGATACTCATTTTGGAAGCAAGGCTGTTAGACGTGACGCAGTAGTGCAATAATGCCCCTGAAGGTTGTGGTCTTGCAGGAACAATTTAAGCCTGTGGCTTTCAGCAGGCTGTAGCACATAGGTGAGACTTGCAGAAGAGCAGTAAGAACTCCTCAGTTGAGGAACTGGAAGATCCCAATGAGGGGTCTTACCTGGGAGCATTGGGAACTGTAAAAGCAGGCGTATTACCTGATAACCTTTGGGTTGTTTCAGGGAATCTGATACCTAAAATGTGCGTGTCCAAGAAAATGATTGTGACAATCATAGCTGCTGTGTCGCATCAGGTGGGCTCTGATCAGATTGTTGCTGTTTTGCAGTGGGCTGCCATAGCAATCTAGAGCTCCTTAACATTTAATGAAGTACAGGTTTATGAAGAATGAAAGTTGTCAGCCTGGGTTTGATGTTCAAAGCCTGTGGAAAATGTTGAGCCATAGTTCGGGGAGAAAAAGAAGGTTCTCGGTGAGCGTACTAAGTACAAGGTGGCTAGAGCCCAGGTCCCTCGGCTGGCAGCAGCCCACCTGAGCAGGTTTTGGAAAGGCTGAGTTGGTACTGCTGCAGAGGTGGAAGGAAAGAGACTGTTGGAAGAAGTCTCTTTGTTTGAAGCACTGAAAGAGGGAATGTTCTTGTACTGCTTTGCCCAAGTAGAAAAAAATCCCAAGTATTTGCTTCTGCCCGGTCAGTGTGACATAAAGATGTGTAAGGCAGGTTCTACAGAGTGTAAAACCAAAATGAGATGGTGACTGCTATTACAGTTGGTCGTGATTCTTTGGCAGGATGCCTTGTGTCCAGCCTATTTGCTGAATAAAGCCTTTGGGCTCCTGTGGAACTAAGGGCTGGGGAAGAGGTTCTTGCCCAAGTTGTGTGGGGTTTTTTGAGTGGGGTGTGTGTGTTTGGTTTTTGCTTGGGTTTTTTTTTTTTTAAATAGCTGCTATGGCAGCATGAATGTACTTTTAAGTCTTAAACATGGTTGCCAAAACCCTTGTAAAATCCACACTTGAGTGGGTGTCTTGGGGTAGTACAGGTAGCCTAGTCATAGCGTATTCTTGTTCAGCCTTGTGGTAGGTTAGTATAAATTAACTGAATCTTTACATATAATTATCTTAGTCAAACAGTAATAAAGCTTGAAGCTCTGTGATTACAAAGACCTGAAAGTCTTTGGGACTTAACCTATAGCTAAAAAAATGCTGTGTCAAAGACCTGCAGTGCTGGTGACGTCTGCAGTCTACTTTTCCATTCCCGTAGAACTTGACAACTAAAGTTGGTTATGAAGACCCTGCAGCTGCTGCTTCTTGGTACTGTGGTGCTCAGCTGTTTTATTATCACTGAGTAATTCCTGTGTGTCTGAAAAGTAGTATTGTTCTCTGAGAATTTTTTTTTTAACAAAGAAAATGGGATTTGAAAGGTGAGAAATACAAACCAGGATGTAACTTCAAAATGGAGAAAATTACTCCAACTGAGGTGTCTCTTCCTAGTCATCTTTCTGTAGAGAACAGTTTAGAATATTGATGCTGCTACTCCAAGTGTCAGTTCTTTCAAAGCTAACGAGATGAACAAGCAAATAGTGATTTTGGAAATTGTGGGACTTGGAAAAATCAGACCTAATATTTCATTAGTTCCATGTTAATCTTTTTCACTAACGCTGAAGCATCTCCTCATTTGTTTTGAAGACCAGTCCCCTGACAAACTCCAGTGTGGTGGGTTTCATAGGTCTGGTGAATTATACGGATCAGGAAGGCAAAGAGAGAAATGTGTGAGATTGTTTTCTACAAACAGGGCTCCCTGAAGGGCTAGCATTTTCTGGAAAGGGAAATTTAATTTTATTATAATTATCGGGAACGACTGAATAAATTCGCACTGAAAACCAGTCTTCCCAGTTTGGTTTTTAGACCATGTGGTGGCTTTCATAGGTCTGGTGAATTATACGGATCAGGAAGGCAAAGAGAGAAATGTGTGAGATTGTTTTCTACAAACAGGGCTCCCTGAAGGGCTAGCATTTTCTGGAAAGGGAAATTTAATTTTATTATAATTATCGGGAACGACTGAATAAATTCGCACTGAAAACCAGTCTTCCCAGTTTGGTTTTTAGACCAACTGCGAAGGATTGATGTAATTGTCAGTGGAGCAATGAGGTGCATGGTCTGTGCAGGGTGAAGTACAGGTGGCTCTGGTCAGTAGGCTGTAGACGTCTGGACGACGGGAGGATCTGTTGGTGTTCAGAGGTAGCAAGGCGTACCGTGTAGGTTCCAGGTGCTGTACGGCTGTTCCCATGGCACGTAGCAGGCCGTGTTGGGTGAATAAAGAGGAGTCTGGTCTGCGTGCCAGCGTTTCTAAACCCATCTCTTGTAAGGCTGTTGCTGTGCAGGAAGTCTTGAATGTGATGGAGGAAATGCCTGCAAAAAAAAAGTACGTTTCCATTCGTAAGTGGAGAAACTAAGCATATGGAAGAATACAGAAGTATTTTTTACTGCCTTTTATTAATTATTTTTTTTTTTTTTGTGAACTTGAAGTGCTGCGGTAATGCTACAGGAGATGAGCATTGGATTTCTTTCTCAGAGTGGCTGGATGTTCCTTTGAGTACGGGGGGAGCAAAAATGTTGGAATAGAGCACTGGGCAGAGAAACTTGGATTTCAAGAGAAATACTTGGAGGTTTCAAATTATTAGCAGGAAGAATAGTTACTGTTTTATGTAAGACTAACAAATTACTATGCAATACAAAATTTTGTAGCTGGGAATTTAAAATTTTGCACATCACCTACTTGGATTATGAGTATTTTGGAGGCTGCGAGCCAGGCGAGCTAACTGTGACTCCTTTAGCCCGTAAATCATTCTAACGGGGATCTGGAACACCGGATTCCACGCGTTGGTTCCCGTTCGCTGCTCAAAGCGGCAGCGCGCTTGCTTGCTTGCTTACGTGGTGTAAATGCAGTCACTCCTGCGTGAGAGCGTTGCATTTTCTGAAGCGTGGGTGAGGTCTGCGCCTGCCGGCGCGCTGCCCCTGGGGAGCGCAGCGATGCCCTCGGCCCTGGCCGTTTAGAAGGGAAACTGCTGACGCTACATGTGAAGAATCGCAAGGTACCGAAATCGGCACTCTTGACACACGGAGTTATTTTTACAAATTGTGGTTTGTGAAAAGCAATATACGTAAGGCCGTGCCAGGCAATAGCTTTGGGTTCTTGGTGCGCGAAGCGGCCGGTGCCGAAGAACACGCATGTGCCGACCCTCTGCAGGGCTTCAGCGTCCCGGGAAGGAAACGCCATGAAAAGTGCAGCGTGATTTGGAGACGACGACGCCTCCTGACGTTTTCCTCCGGCTCCTGCCGCTGCTGCACCACCCCCGCGGCCGGTGCCGAAGAACACGCATGTGCCGACCCTCTGCAGGGCTTCAGCGTCCCGGGAAGGAAACGCCATGAAAAGTGCAGCGTGATTTGGAGACGACGACGCCTCCTGACGTTTTCCTCCGGCTCCTGCCGCTGCTGCACCACCCCCCCGGCCTCCCTGCAGAGAGCCCC